TCGCCGCTGCGACAGCAAATAAATTGGGAATTAAAGGTAATACTATCAAAACACAAGAGAATACGACACCATGCAGAACTCACCCTTCTGCTATTGCTGGTGGTATGAGCTATTTCTTTGCCACATTACTACATAAAAACAACCACCATCTGATCAGACTGTTCAAGAAGGCAGTTGTTAGAAAAAAAACACACAAAAACTATTTGTGAAATGCATTTACACCTACTGTCACTAACAATTCACCTTCCCCTAGATGATACTGAGCCCTGAGATACTAGCCCTGAGAGTATAAACTGTCACGGGAGGATGACATTGTCCATAAACCCAAACCTCTACAAGTTGTTTTCAAGTGTATTTAAAGCCATGTGACACTCGTTCACTCTGGGCCTTTAAACATTTCAGTATAACTGATGACAACGTTTAGATGCTTCTTTGGAGGTTCGTACTTAATAGCGAAAGACAAAAACCCCCAATGTCTTGGAGAAACACTTGTTCTTCTTGCCATAGTACGATAACAAGCTAAAACACGTTTGTTTGTCAGCAAATACTATTGGAAGGCATATAGAAAATACGGTCAAAGATTTGAAGAGATAAGAATTAAATTTCATGGGGGAAGTCTGCAAAGTGCCGTGAAGTGCAGATGTTTCTAACTTGTCCATTTCAAAAGTGAAATACACGAGGAACTGCTTTTCTTCCTTAGCCACTAAGGAAAGAAAGATAAAATATACACTCAACAGTAATTTACTTCTTTAATTAAAAAAAAAAAAAATGTTTTCAGTGCCCAGATCTCAGTTTCTAAATCATATTCTCCACTAAAAGGAAGAGGGCCCCTTGGAGAAATGGTTGATGTCAGGGCTAGGGCAGGAAAAGTATGAGCCAGGAACAGCTTGTGCTAGAAGGTAAAGAAGAGCTCTACAAATGTATGGGAGTACATGAAAAGGAACAGGAGTCAGCCTGAAGTGGCTCCCACTGGCCAAATACGGGACAATTTGAGCATTAAAATAAATAAAGATAGTGAGGAAGTATAACCAATTCAATAAAACAGGAATCTAAAAGCACATATTGAAAAGCTGGTGATGGAGAACCCGAGGCTGAGAAGGGGAGAGTGTTGACATGTCGTGGGGTTGGCAACCAATGTCACCAAACAATATGTGTATTAATTGTTTAATGAGCAACTAATTTGCTCTGTAAACCTTCATCTAGAGCACAATTTTAAAAAAAAAAAAAAAAAAAGACCTCTGAAAAAAAAAGACCAGGCTTGCTGGTCTGACAGAGACTGGAGAAACCCCAAGAGTATGGCCCCTGGATGCCCTTTTAACTCAGTACTAACACAATCAAGGTACACATTGACAGTAAGTGGAAAGCAAGGAAAACTCTTTCGTGAAATACACCAACTAATACTTGTAGTGGGAGAAGCAGGCTTAGTGATTGCCATTTCCCAGTCATCGTGGTAAAGACTCGTTCAGGCAAGCATCATCAACAGGCGCTTATCTAGAGCCGTAAGTCTGAGTAAAAGCAGGGTCTTTGCAGGATCTCTGAATGTCTCTCCACAGGCCAGCTTCTAGGGGAAGCTACAGTAACTGTACAGTGAATACCATGTGATCAAAATTAACATCACCAATGAGGGACTGACAAATATCCTGTATCTCCATATAGGCTATCTCAGGACGCCACATTATTTATGTAGTATTCCAGCCAAGAATGTATACTCTGAATCTAATCATGAGGAAACATTAGACAAGCCCACACAGAGAAGCATTCTATAGAACTGGCCTGTATCTCTCCCCCCAAAAAATGTCAGTCTCATGAAAGACACACAACTGCTCAGATTAAATAAATTTGGGGTGCGGGGGGAATATATATACACACACACACACACACACACACACACACACACATATCTCTGGAGCCCTGGTGGCACAGTGGTTAAGAGTTTGGCTGCTAACCAAAAGGTCAACAGTTCGAATCCACCAGCTGCTCCTTGGAAACCCTATGGGGCAGTTCTACTGTCTCCTATAGAGTAACTGGGAGTTGGAATCGACTCAACGGCAAAGTGTTTGGTTGTTTTTTATTTATATATATGTCTCCATGGCAAGAGAAAGCAAGCGAGAGCGGTACGTGGCAAAATGTTAACAATTTGGTGAATTTGGGCAAGGGTATGCAGGAGTTCTCTCACTGTTCTTGCAGCTTTTCTGAAAATTTGAAATTATATCAAAATAAAAAGTTTAAAAATGTTTTATGGAAAAACTAAGCGTAATCTCTGATGGATCGTTTTGACGCAAAGGGGAATAAAGGAGGGTCCTGAGTTAAGGTTACAGAGCTAGCACCCACACGTGGAAAGTGAATTTATCTTGTCTACCACAAACAACCACCACCCATCTGTCAAGTTTGCCGTACTGTGGTGGCTTACAAGTTGATATGATGCTAGAAGCTATGCCATGGGTATTTCAAAAACCAGCAGAGTCACCCATGGTGGACAGGCTTCAGCAGGGCTTCTAGACTAAGACAGATTACGAAGAAAGGCCTAGAGATCTACTTCCAAACTGAGACAGACTAGGAAGAAAGACCTGGCAATCTACTTCTAATAATCAGCCAGTGAAAACCCTTTGGATCACAACAGAATACTGTCTGATACAGTGCTGGAGGATGAACCTCTTAGGTTGAAAGGCACTCAAAATACTCAATGGCCACAACAGTGGACTCAAGATACCAGTGACTATGAGGATGGTGCAGGACCGGGCAACCTTTTGTTCCGCCTGGGGGGGGGGGTCGGAGCCCACTCAAGAAGGCAACCAACACCACCACCACAGACAAACTATTACACCAAGGAAGTTGAAATCTAAGTTTACACAGTGCTACAGGGTGTCACATCTGTGGTAAATTTTATTAAAACACAACCCAATCTTTTTACGATAGTTTGTATTAAGATGGGGAAAGACCTTGAAATCTTTTGTGCGAATCAAACGCTGTCAACTTAAAGATGAAATACATATTTTTCTTTTGCGAAAAACATTTACCGAATTTTTCTCTAGTAATAGCGTATTAAGCAGCAGGCATTAAATACCAAACCAAACCATTAAAACCTATAAACAATGGGACCCCCTGGCCCTCGGGGAGCCCTGGTGGCACAGTGGTTAAGAGCTCAGCTGCTAACCAAAAGGTCAGCAGTTCAAATCCACTAGCCGCTCCCTGGAAACCCGACGGGGCAGTTCTACTCCGTCCTGTAGGGTCTCTATGAGACAGAACTGACCCCAAGGCAACGGGTTTTGTACTTTGGTTTTGGTCCCTCTGGGCCAGGTCGCCCCAAATCGAACGCTCCAAGCCTGTTTGCTGACCTCCGGCCAAGGCTCACAGCGCTCTCACAAAGGAGACGGCCTGGCCGGGCGCGCCCTCGGGCCGCCATTAGCGGAGGTAGCGGAGTGGGAGGAATCAGCGGCCTACAGGCCTAATCAGGCGCATTAGCAACGTGCTGAGTTCCTGCGGGGCCACGGACTACAGCTGAGTGAGGCCCTCCGGGAACAAGAGAGTAGAGCGCGAGTTTGCAGGCATATCTGGAAACAGGGGCGCCACGAGGCAGCGCGGCGGCCCGAGGTTTCCCAAGGCGCGCGCACGCTCTACAACCCCCTCCTGCCCCGGGCACAAACCCTCACGCCAGGCTCGCGGGGCGGAGGCGCGTGCGAGGAGCTTCCTGCGCGGAGGGTCGGCACGAGCGCGCAAGGGCGCGGCGAGCGCAGGGCGACGGCGCGTGCACGTATGGACGGCGGGTGCGCGGAGGGGCGGTGCGTGCGCGGAGGGGCGGCGCGTGCTCGGAGGGGCGGTGCGTGCACAGAGGGACGGCGGGTGCGCGGAGGCGCCGTGCGAGCGCAGGGCGACGGCGCGTGCGCGGAGGAGCGGTGCGTGCGCCGAGGCATCCTTGGGGGTCCAGGGCGTCGCCTCAGGTGGCGGAGGATGTGACCGGCGTGGCCGGCAGCGGCCCGCGGACTATGCTCGCCTTCCTGGGCACCACGGCCCTGGTGCTGGTCGCCGGGGCGCCCTGGGCGTTGCTCGCAGCCGCAGGTGAGAGACGAGGGGCTCTGGCGCAGGTCCGCGGTCGTTGGTAGCAGGGCGCCGGGAAGGCGGGATGGGCAGGGACCGACGTCACCTCGGGGAAACCTTTGGGTGTCGTGACGCTGTGGTTTGTGGTCCTTGGTCGCAGCGCTCAGATTGAAACTGATTCGGGCTGGAAAATCAAGCGGAGAAGGCGGTGTTGAGGCCCCTCACGCCGCTGCCTGCGAGCCGGCGGCCCCGCGCGGGGCTCCGTCCGCGCCCACCCCGCCCCGAAGCCGGATGAGCGGGAGCCCTCGGGTCACGATCGTGGGATTGGAAAAATCCGGCCGCTCGGGGGGCCCGTTCAGTGAAGAAGGCTTTAGCCACCAGCAGTGCTTTAAAAAGAAAAAAAAAGAAGAACCGTTGCCGTGGAGTCGGTTCCGACTCATAGCGACCCGGTAGGACAGGGTAGAGCTGCCCCACACGGTTTCCAAGGCGCGGTGGCGGATTCGAACTGCTGACCTTTTGGTTAGCAGCCAAGCTCTTAAGCGCTGTGCCACCAGGGCCCCTTACCAGCAATGCGCTGCCCCTGAAAGCGTTTCCTCAGTTTAGTAAACAGTTACTCAGTCCCAAGGGAGTAGAGTTAACGCTGCAGAGATTTCTTTGCCCGCAGGCTTCCTACTGTCTAGTACAAAACGGAAGGGAACAGCCTAAATGCAAAGATAGGGAGCCACCAGGCTGAGCCGGCATGCGTCAGGGACTGGCAGCAATTACAAGGTTGACAGGAGGGACAGGTCATTTTATAGAGGGAAGGGGCACCTCAAGGAGAAAACGGAGCTTAGCAATTGCAGGCTGGAATCCAGCAGCTGGGTGAGGCCACCTAAAAATCCACTGCATTGAGTCCATACAGGACAGAGTGGAACTGCCCCATAGGGTTTCCAAGGCTGTAAATCTTTACAAAAGCAAACTTTCACATCTTTCTGCAGAGCAGCTGGTGGGGTCGAACCGCCAGCCTTTCTGTTAGTAGCCAAACACTTTAAACACTGCACCACCAGGGCTCCTAGAGCTACCTAGTGGGTCAAAATACTTACGAAGTTCTTGCTTAGAAAAGTGTACTTCTGTATGGTACGTGAGAAGGCCCTGGGTGGCGCCAACAGTTGAGTGCTCAGCTACTAATCGGAAGGTTGTGGCAGTTTGAACCCACCCAAGAGGCATCTCAGAAGAAAGCCCTGGCAATCTGCTTCCATACCCTTGAAAACCCTATGGAGCACAGTTCTACTCTGCACACATGGGATGGTCATGAGTTGGAATCCACTCACTGGCAACTGGTTGGTTGGATGTGGTACATGATGTCCTGTTTCTCAAACGCTTCCACAGATGCAGTATACAGATGCTAGGGTCCTGGTGCAAACCGTGATCATTTCTTTGAAGTCTTGTTCATGAAAAATTTTCATGTTTGTTTTAATACAAAAATAATTTCCCCAGAATTTTCATGTAAAATTGACATTCCAGGCAGATGTGCATTAAGAAACTAATTTTAATCTGGGTCATAGGAGAGCTGTTAAAATAACAGTTCATATGTCATTAACATTTAGTGCGCTCTTTCCTGTGTGCCAGGCACTGTTCTAAGTATCTTAAGTGCATACACTCATGGAGCTCTCAGGACTGCCCTAGGCTCTGTTGTTGGGTGCCGTCCAGTTGTTTCTGACTCATAGCGACCCCGTGTACAGCAGAACAAAACACTGCCTTGTCCCGCACCATCCTCACAGCCCTTATGCTTGAGCCCATTGTTGCAGCCACTGTGTCAGTCCATCTCGTTGAGGATCTTCCTCTTTTTCACTGACCCTCTACTTTACCAAGTATGATGTCCTTCTCCAGGGATGGTTCCTCCTGATAACATGTCCAAAGTATGTGAGATGAAGTTTTGCCATCCCTCACTTACTAAGGAGCATGCTGGCTGTACTTCCTGCAAGACAGATTTATTCATTCTTCTGGCAGTCCATGGTATATTCAGTATTCTTCACCAACGCCATAATTCAAAGGCATCAATTCTTCTTCCATCTTCCTTGTTCATTGTCCAGCTTTCGCGTGCATATGAGGCGACTGAAAATAGTGCCAGGCACTGTTCTGAATATTTTAAATGCACAAACTCTGTAGCTTTCCGAATAGACTTACGCACTGTCTTGGTCATCTAGTGCTGTTATAACAGAAATAGCACAAGTGGACGGCTTTAACAAAGAGAAGTTTATTCTCTCACAGTCCAGTAGGCTACAAGTCCAAATTGATGGCATCAGCTCCAGGGGAATGCTTTCTCTGTCGGTTCTGGAGGAGGGTCCTTGTCATCAGGCTTCCCTTGGTCTGGGAGCTTCTCTGCACGGGAACCTCACGTCCAAAGGACGCGTTCTGCTTCCTACACTGCTTTTTTGGTGGTATGAGGTTCCCAACTCTCTGCTTGCTTCCGTTTTCCTTCTATCTCTTGAGAGAGAAAAGGTGGTGCAGACCACACCCCCGGGAAACTCCCTTTACATTGGATCAGGGATGTGACCTGGGTAAAGGTGGTGTTACAATCCCGCCCTAATCCTCTTTAACATAAAATTACAATCACAAAATGGAGGACAACCACAGAATACTGGGAATCATGACCTAGCCAAATCGATACGCACATTTTTGGGGGAACATAATTCAATCTATGACAGGCACTGTTATCCTCATGTTACAGATGAGAGAGACACAAAGAGATTGATTAACTTGCCTAGGGTCCCACAGTGAGCCACTGGCGGGGTGAGACGTTGAACCCTGGGGCTTAACCAGACTATACTGTTTTTCCAAGGCAATTTAAATTCTTGATTATTCAACTATATGTTAAGGGCCTAGTTATCAGTTTATCTTTCAATTAACGTGTTTTCTCAAAAGAATCATAATGTCATTCAAAACCAAATGAAATGTTAACCCAAATGTGATAACCTAAACTTGAGATCACAATGTTGCTGTTTTGAGTCATAAACATATTCATACTTTTTAACCTAATAAATGCAATTCTGGGACACTAGTCTAAGAAAATAATCTAAAATATGGAAGGAAATTTGTATTTATATGAATGTGTATGTTTGGATTTATGTCAGACTTGAAGAGATGGTAAACCACTTCTTGTCATCAATATGAATGTGAAAGATTGGAAGCAACCAATCTGTCTTAGTCATCTAGTGCTGCTATAACAGAAATACCACAAGTGGATGGTTTTAACACAGAGAAGTTTATTTCCTCAGGGTCAGAGTAGGCTAAAAGTCCAAATTCAGGGCATCAGCTCCAGGGGAAGGCTTTCTCTCTCTGTCGGCCTTCTCATCAGTGTTCCCTCGGACTAGGAGCTTCTCGGCGCAGGGACCCCAGTCCAAAGGACGTGCTCTGCTCCCAGCACTGCTTTCTTGATGGTATGAGGTCCCCAACTCTCTGCTTGCTTCCCTTTCCTTTTACCTCTTGAGAGAGAAAAGGTGGTGCAGGCCACACCCCAGGGAAACTCCCTTTACATTGGATCAGGGATGTGACCTGGGTAAAGGTGGTGTTACGATCCCACCCTAATCCTCTTTAATGTAAAATTACAGTCACAAAATGGAGGCCAACCACACAATTCTGGGAATCATGGCCCAGCCAAATTGATACACACATTTTTGGGGGACATAATTCAAATCATGACACAATCATATATATATAATTATTGGATTAAGTACCCATTTATGTTAAAAGGGTAAGATATACTGTTATTAAAAGGAGATTGCTAATATTAATAGATCAAATCTACAGCAACTAAAATCCTGTTTAATAACTCTATTTTCAAGTCCCTTTTCCTGTTTATTGGTCAGTTTTATTGAAGATTTATCAACTGGTCTCCCAAATAACACCAAACCAAAAACCAAACCCGATACCATGGAGTCGATTCCAATTCATAGCGACCCTGTAGGGCAGAGTAGAACTGCCCTATAAGGTTTCCAAAGCTGTAAATTTCTACAGAAGCGAACTGCCACATCTTTCTCCTGCAGAGCAGCTGGTGTGAACCGCAGACCTTTGGGTTAGCAGTTGAGCGCTTAACCACTGCGCCACCAGGGCTCCTCCCGAATGACACCTCTAACTCCAGGGTCTGCTTTAGCAATAAAAGGATTGAATCCTGAGGAAATCCTGGCTCTACCCCCAGCACATTTCCTCTTCCTATTTCAGAGTTTAGAAGCTACTAGAATAAGAATATCCTGGACATGATTTGTCTACTCCTTTAAACCTGATCTCTGACCTTTGGCTACATTGAATCTGTAAAGTCCCAACAGATGGGATGGAGATCAAGTTTAGAAGAATGGGATAAGGGAGTGTATTCTGTTCAGGGATGAAATCTCGATGAATACAACATGAAACAGAAAATTCAGGGTAGGAAGACTGGATGGTTCCCTCCCCAAATTAAAAAAAAAAAAAAAAATTCAGGAAATGTTTTCTGCGATATCTGCCCTTTTGACCATGTATCGTAATATCCCTAACTCACAGTAAAGGAAGCAGTCCCAAACCGGAAGTTCTAGACAAGGACACCTGTGGTGGAAAAGTCTGAAAGGGGATTAACATGCTTTCCCTGAGACAGAAGTAGAGGCTAGAAATATTGTAGGAACCAGAATTAAATATAAAAGTTGGTGTTTTAAAAATGACAGCTTACCATAGTGCCAAAAGAATGAACAAATATGTCTTGGAAGAAGTACAGCCAGAATGCTTCTTAGAAGCAAGGATGGCGAGAATATGTTTCACATACTTTGGACATGTTATTGGGAGGGACCAGTCCCTGGAGAAGGAAGGACATCATGCTTGGCAAAGTAGAGGGTCAGCGAAAAAGAGGAAGACCTCAACGAGATGGACTGACACAGTGGCTGCAACCATGGGCTCAAGCCCAAGAGTTGTGAGGATGGCGCGGGACCGGGCAGTGTTTCATTCGTTGTACACTGGGTCGCTTTGAGTCAGAACCGACTTGACGGCACCCAACTAACTATAGTGACATATCAGTCCTTAGTGATACCTGAAGAAGTTTTTGTGAACCCCAGTATTATGTTGAGTACTCTGAAAATGCAGATTAAGTATGACAAGAACTTGCAGTCTGGTTGCATGGAGATTTGTGTTCAACACAAAGAAGCAAATTGAAAATACATCTTTCAACAAAAATTTGGAGCCTAGTAGATGTCAGATACCGTGCTGAGTATGTCTCCTTAAGTGTGAGTGATACAGATTAAATGATGCAGTGTGGGAAAGAAGAGCAAGATGAGTGTGTTCTGCAGCGTTCGAGGAAGGTTTTCTGTGAGCGTCAGACTTGAGTTGGGCCTTAGAGGATGCGACTAGTCAGGAAGAGAAGTGCCCTGCAGGTTGGAGGGGTCTCAAAGGGAAGAGATCCCACTGGTGGAAGACGTGTGTTAGGAGTAGTGAGAAATAAAGTAGGCCCATGGATGCAAGAAGTGAGAAAGGTTCAGACTTAATGTGTCCCCAGTCAGGACCTTGTCAGGTTCCGGAAGAGCTTGGCTGATGTGATCAGTGTTCGTACCTCTCTCTGTCTCCATTTTATGACTGTTCATTTCCTGTGAATAGCTGTCAACTTTGAAACCACATCTGTTCAGTTCTCTGTTAAAGTATACGACGTCCTCATCTCTGAGCCCAGTGGTGTGGAACTGGGTTGAGACTGTTAAACAGTGGAACCCTGTACCTTTTCAGTAGTATCACTTCAAAGACCAATGAAAAATTCTGTTTTCATTCAGAGGCGTTTTTTTTTTTTCTTTCCCCCAATTAAAAGACAAAACCTTTTTATAGATGAAAAAAACTCAGTCTTTTTCCCAGCTCTCTCAGATGCAGAGATAGCAATAATTAGTAGCCTCCCTGTGCTAAAGGCAATCATTTGGTTTTTTAGATTTTTTATATACTTTGTTATGTTTAAACGTATTCATTGTTTAATCAGTGATGTGAAGTGAAGAATAACTTTGTAAACGTATTTGTGCGGTGCGTATTAATTATTTTCTTGTTGCCTTTATAGGTGGAGAAGATTTAGAATCTCCTCAAAATGTAGAGGTCAGCATCATAGATGACGTCTTTCTCCTGAAGTGGAACAGTAGCGAGTCTGTCGGCAACGTGACTTTTTCAGCAGATTACCAGACGTACGTGGCTCCCCGTGTTGATTTGCCAAGATTAGCTGCTGGATCATTTTCCTAATTTTAACACCAGTATTTTGTTCTCAGGTTTAAGAAACATTTGATTTTTCCATAATGAAGTTATACATACTATGTAAATTAGATATAAATTTTTTAAATAATGGAAGTTCCATTATTTTAAAAAATTATGTCTGATTTACATAATATTTATAACTTCATTTCTACAGAGTGGTTTTTTTTTTCCTTGTTTTTCGTTTTTGGTGAAAATATACACAGCAGAAGATAACATTATTTCAACAATTTTTACATGTATAATTCAGTGACATGGATGACAATTTCAAGTTGTGCAACCATTCTTGCTATCCTTTTCTAAATTCTTTTACCACCATTAACATAAACTCACTGCCCCCTAAGCTCCTCATCTAATCTTTGGAGTTGCTGTTATCAGTTTAATTTCATAGAAATAATACTTTAAAAGAGCACAGTACTCAAGGCAGACGTGTTACTAATTAAGCTAAACTGTTGTTTGGTTCAGAGAAGACTTCAGGGGACAGTTTTGGTTTAAAGTTTAAAGATTATCTCAGGGCAATAGTTTTGAGGGTTCGTCTAGCCTCAGTGGCTCCAGAAAGTCTGGATTCCATTGGAAGTAGAAGGTAGGAGACGGCTTCTCTATTCACAGCCATTCCTCTGACTGTTCTGGATGGTCCAGCTTCTTTAAATAAAAAATAACAAAGAGCCACAATCTACTTCCACACTCCTGTTGTTTCACAAGGTATCGCTGATACTGCATTTTCTAGTCCATAATAATTTCGTTTACTCTGCCATTCTGGCCTTTATCGTCAAATGCATTATTTCAGCGTGTTCTTACCGTGTTTTGTTCTGCCAGCTTTATGGACCATTGCCTTGCAAAATACGCCACAATTCTGGGAAGACAGTACAGTGTAGTGTCATGGAGTGTGGACTAAGGGGTTTAAATCCATCCCCTTAGTTACTCTCTGCATGTCTCAGTTTCCTAGCCCATTAAGTAGAGATGATAACTAATATGACCGGGTAATTTATCACCCAAACCAGGATGCTTTGGAGAGTGAAAAGAGGCACTCAGTCTTAGATAAGCTGGACCAGGACTGTCAAGCCAAATGGGATGGGGTACCCCAAAAATAAAGTGTCTAACTCAGAAGGTTGTCTGAGTACTGAATAATTGTATGTGAAGTCCTCAGAACAGTGGCCCAGAGTAAGTGATCAGCTGAAGTGTAGTACCAACAGCAGCAGCAGACGAGTATTTTTTAATAGTGTTTCTGAGAGTGGAGGGCGTACACCACCGATGACAGTGATACACAGATAGAGAAATAAGCTACTGAGATTCCGGCACCTGTGGAACAAACACTGTCTAGAATTTCAGGGTTTGTTACTTACGGCTGGAAGGTTTGAACTGCCGACCTTTTGGCTAGCAGCTGGTGCTTAACCACTGCACCAGCTGGGCTCCTGCTTAAATCTGCAGTTTATTATCGTGTATGTAACGTGTAGCATTCATTTTTCCATTCAACAAATATCGAGTGCCTTTTACGCCAAGCACTCTTTCGTGTGCAAAGAATACATCAGTGAACAGGAGAGACAAAGATATCATGAAGTTATATTAATGAAACTGGTTTTGTGAAGTGAATATTATATTGGTTCTGTAGTCATGTTTTAAGTTACAGTTTATCCTGACCTAAACGCTGTATATGATAAAGGTTTTTTGTTTTGTTTTATGAAAGTAAAAGCCGCGTCAGCCGCAGTACCTCCCTTGTGCGCAGAAGCAGTTGTAATAAAGCACACAGCAGTGTCTCCTGGGGCAAGAAAGACAGATGTCCAAGGTGATATTGAGGCAATAGCAAGGTTTAGTTTTCACTTTTTTTGATAAAGGTTTTAGTTTATAATAAGCCTCTGGATTTTTAAAAATAAATTCTGACATGGAGGAGTTTCTCAGGGATATTTACATTTGAATTACAGTATCATCAATTGCAGCTCTTACCTCAGAGCTCAGATGGTTAACATGGAAGAGGAACCTAGGGCAATGAAGTATTCCATATGCTACTGTGTATTTTCCACAATTTTTAAGTGCTTTCCTTTTTGAAAAACAAGGTAGACTTGTTTTTGGGCGTCCCTGGTTACTAATATCCGAAAATATATTTATTTGTTTTTATTAAAGAAAGCAGATCAGCTAGTGCTAGGACTATGAATTAGACTTCAAAGATACCTTCCTAGAGGATGGCTTCTCTGCCTGGTTTGAGGCAGACGGGGTTTACCTGGCAAAGCATTTGAATTCTGTCTCTCCCTCACCTTCACCCCAGCCTCTTCTCTCCACTTTCTGCTTTAGGCTGTCCATGCCAACCTGATTTCTTCATCACTTTCTCTTTTAGAAAAAGAAGACACTAATATCGATCACTTAAACTTTTTATTGGCCGGTTTCACTTTGAGAAGTTTATTCATTTATATTAACATTTTAAGTGTTTTTGTTTCTAATGTTGAAATTGAAGGAATTGTAGAGATGAGCAAGCAGGGGGGTGGTTGGTTTGGGGGAGGGCTGAGGAAACTCTGAAATCGCACTGATTTTGAAGTTAATCTCAGGGCAGGTAATCTACTCATATGAGGAAGTCAGAAGGGAACTGTCATATCCAGTTCTCAGATTTTCAATAAGCAAGCTGAGGTCCAGAAACAGAGTAGTTTGCCAGAGGTCACACATCTACTTTTAACAAAGCCAACACGAAATGTACCTCTGCCTTACGATTCATTCCTTCTCTGTTTCCTTGAAATCCTGATGCATTCACCCCAAAATTATATAGAGAACCATGTTTTAAAAATTAACTGTATATTGAACTATTCCATTTTATAAACAGCTTGATACAGATGCATGAAGAAGACCAGAAGGCTATAAACTAAAATGTTGGAAGGACATTAACTTCAAGTAGAAGAAATAACTGCTTAAACCAGCTTTGTAATGTTAGTAAGCAGAGAACTTTGGTGCTCTTTTGCATGTATACACTTGCTCATTCATTCATTCTTTGCTCTTTATTACAAAGACCTGGAATGCATAATTGGATAGAGTTGCCTGGGTGTCAGTACATTACTGGTACCACGTGCGACTTTTCTTCAGTCAAGTTAAGTGTGTTTGAAAAAATTCAATTACGTATAAGAGCAGAAAAAGGAAACAGAACATCTCCATGGCATGAGGTTGGCTCATTTATCCCGTTTCGCAAAGGTAAGAAACTGGCTAGCTACACAATGTGTAGTTCTTTATTGAATATTTACCAGGACAGCTCATTTCCCAAGTCCATTTTATTTACATAATGAAGTATCATGCATTTCACCAGAAAAAAAGAACAAAGGTTCCTTTCTCCTGCCTGCTGTTTCCCTGTAGTAGTGCTCCTCAAAGCGTGATCTGGGGGTCTCTAGGGGTCTCTCCGATCCCTGGAGGGAGTCTGTAAGATCAAAACTATTTTCATAATAATTCTGAAACTTACCTGCCTTTTTCATTCTCGTTCTCTCTCAAGTCTACGATAGAGTTTTCCAGAGATGACATTTCTTTTCTCATATCCTACGTCCAGTCTAACAGATTCTGCCTGTTCCGCCTCAGTGTGTATCCCGATCTAATCCCTCCGCACTTCACACCGCCGCCCGCCTTGACCGAGCTACTTTTGTTTCTCACTTGTACTACTATGATCACATGTTTGCCAGGACGATCTTTCCAAACATCAAGCAGATTGTGGTACAGTCTCAGCTCTCTAGTGATTTCCACAGTTGCTACCACAACTATAAAGCCCTCTGTTCCTCGCCTCTGGCAGCCTCTCTGACACCGCTTCCAGCCTGCCCATTCCCAGCCCAGCTCTCTTGCGCTCTCTGGGAAGTAACAAGCATCTTAGGGGCATTGCACCAGACGTTCCCTCGGCCTGGAATCCTAGTTCCTAGATATTTGCTTGGGCACCTCTCCGTTTATGCAGGTCTCAGCTCACAGTCACTTTCTCGGAGAGGCTTTTCTTGACCAGCTTACCTGAACAGTGCTGTGTCATTCTCTGCCCCTCTGCGTTACTTTTCTGCATAGCACACATGCTGTCGGGCGTGTGTGTGCGTGTGTGCGCCGTGTCCCCCACTAGAGTTTGAGCTCCATGGGGGCAGGGGCTTTTCCTGTTATTATGCCAGGCACATGTTAAAGCGCTCAGAAGTATATGTTGAATAATTGTTCTGGCATTATATTAATGAAATTATATAATGATTGTTTTGACTTTAACAGCTCAAATTGGGCCTCCAAAGGTGCATTTAAAAGCTGAAGATAAGGCAATAATAGTCAACATCTCTCCTCCTGGGACAAAAGATAGTCTCATGTGGGCTATGGATATTTTAAGCTTCACATACAGCGTGGTTATCTGGAAAAACTCTTCCAGTGTAGATGTAAGCATTATTTTTACCTTCGTTTGATGTGAGACAAGAATGAAGTGAATTAATTCTACCATTTGAATTTATACTTTTTTAAAGAACAGACTTCTTTTTTTATCTTGTAGGAAAGGACTGAGACTGTTTATCCCGGAGGTAAAATTTATAAACTCTCACCAGAGACTACTTATTGTTTAAAAGTTAAGGCAAGACTACGTTTGCACAGAAAAGTTGGTTCCTATAGCCCAGTGTATTGTGTAAATACCACAGGTAAGAAGGGAATTTTGCTTTAGATTTGATAACTGTATCGCATGTCGGCAGCATGTTAATTTGGCATTTTCCGCTTAGTTGCGCAAGTTTATGTGGTGGTTTAATAGATATCAAAACGGAAGCACTGGTCAGGACAGCATTTACAGAAGCAAGAAAGTGGTATTTGGGATTTTAGTTTGAAGTAAATGGTAAGGACAATTAATTTTGCTTCAGAGTACGAATATGAAGGACAAAAACTGCTTATATTTGTTCAGAATCCACAAACGGGGGAAGTAGTGGCTAGTAGAACAGTTAGTCTTCCAGACAGTCTACCTTTGTAAGTGTTGTTGTGTGGTTAGAGAGGAGCGTTGGTGGTGCAGTGGTTGAGTGCTTGGCTGCGAACCAGAAGGTCCGTGGTGCAAACCCACCAGTGGCTCCGCCGGAGAAAAGACCTGGCAATCTGCTCCCGTAAAGATTACAGCCTGGGAACCCCTAGGAGGCACTTCTGCTCTGTCCTGTAGCATTGCTGTGAGTCGGAATCAATTCAGCCCACGACAGCAGCGGTCTCAGAATATGAGAGCATCCTGACACACACTTCGCGTCATCTTGCCAGTAGTTAGAGTCAAAACCGTTGTTGTCGTCAAGTGCTGTTGGGTCAGTTTTCAACTCCTAGTGACCCCGTGTGACAGCAGAACTGCCCTAGAGGGTTTCTCGGTTGGCAGATGGCCAGGACTTTGTCCTGCAGAGCTGCTGTGCTGGTTCAAACGGCCAGCCTTTCGAGCAGCAGCCCAGTGCTTAACTGTTGTGCCACCAGGGCTCCTGAAGTCCAGACTGGGTGCAGGGATTTGTTTGTGGGTTTAACGATAAGCGTAATATGCCGTATTTTAAAAGCCAGACAGTACTGAAGGGCTTAAAGGACAGTTTTCCTCTGCTGCCTCCGTCCTCCCTGTTCCTTTTATCAGGAGGAAGTCTTGCCAGTAGTTTGTATATATCCTGCCACGCTTTTTTCTGGACTTACACAAGCATATACATAAACAATAGGACCATGCTAGACATATTCTATCATTTGATTGTTTTGCCTAATATTGAGGATATCTTTCTATGCCAGTGCATACAGATCCTAGCGCATTCTTTTAAACAGCTGCATAGTTATTACATTGTGTAAATGTACACCTGAAATTATCTGTTACTTATAAAGATAAAATGTAAATCTTCCACCTTGTCTATGCTGTCATTATCTCACTAGAATAAAAACGTATGCTCTTTTTGTGTGTTCTTTGGCTTCTAGTTGAAAATAAACTGCCTTCACCAGAAAATATAGAAGTTGATGTTAAAGATCAGAGCTACGTTCTTAAATGGGATTACACATATGAAAACATGACCTTTCAAGCGCAGTGGCTCCGGTAAGTTCTGTTGCGTGTGTTTCCTTTGGCCGTGTTTATTTGATAATGCTTCTTTTTAGTCCGGTTCAGCAGCCTGCAACGCCTTGCACAGATTCAGGTGCTGAATTGAGAGACTGACAGGCAGGTGATTGTGACATACTTAAAATGAAGGAGATTGCATTTTAGTCCCAAACTCTGCCAGAAACTAGGTGGATGATACTGAGCTAGCCATTTAACTTCCCTGGGCCTCAATTCCTTCGCTGTGTGTAAAGTGAGGGTGTTCTAAGAACATCTCAGCGCTTGCCGGCTCTGTGAAGAAGGCGTGACTCTAGCTGCATGTGTGACTTTCCCAGTCTGGAATACTTGACACTTGAACCTGGTCTCGTCTTTGGAACTTGCCTCTTCCATGAGTCCTTAAAATGATCTCAGTCTGTTCACTCAGACTGGTTCAATTCAAAAAGCTAGCTGCCCCGTTTCCTTTCTTTCTCTCTCTTTTCAATCTGTTTATTGGTTGATGGATGGTGAAAATATACGTATATTTCTTCTGCTACATTGTGAGGTTCTTGAGGATGGAGAACAATTCATTTCTGTGACCTTACCGCCTAGCAAGGTGTCTAACATACTGTAGGTACTCTAAATATTTATTGAATTGGCTATGGGAAATGTTTTTTAAAAAAATGATTTTGTCTTACAGTGCCTATTTTAAAAAGATTCTTGGGAACCATTCAGATAAATGGCAACAAATACCTGGCTGTGAAAATGTCAGAGCTACCCAGTGTGTCTTTCCTCAAAAAGTTTTCTCAAAAGGAGCTTACTTTCTCCGTGTACAAGCCTCTGATGGAAATAAAACATCTTTTTGGTCTGAAGAGAAAAGACTTGATACTGAAATGCAAAGTGAGCGAGTAGTTTTTACTTTAGATTATTATTCTCCAGCTTGTGCAAGTCCTTTAGTTTTTCTGGTCTAAATTGAACATTGTGTCTTCACGTTTTTTTTTTCCAGCTGTCATACTTCCTCCAGTCATTAGTATGAAATCTGTTGATAATTCACTGCATATCTATATCGGTGCTCCAAGAGAGACTGAAAACAAGTCTACGAGCCAGCATTATCCACTTATTTATGAAATTATTTTTTGGGAAAACACTTCAAATGCTGAGGTAAAAAGACTATATAGTATAATTCTGTCACTTAGAGTTATAACTATGATTTGGATAAACAAAGCTTGACGTTTTGCAAAAATTTTTAACACTGTGATTAACTCAGATATTTACACCGTGAAAAATATTAGTACACGTAGTCCCTGACCTAAACAGCGTATTCAAGTTACAACGAACTGCACTTAACGACCATCTTTTTTTTCTTTTAACATCTCATCATTAGTAATATGTACTACATGCAGTGTTGCAGGGCGTAATTTGCTGATGTTATCATTCTGAGATGTTCACTCGCAGATGTTCAGTGTTATGATTCATAAAGATACTGATAATAAAAGGCAAATAATGAAAACTAAAAAATGAGGTGTTTGACTTAGGTCACCACCGACGTCGGATGGAGTCAGCGGAGCGGAACCGCATTGTGAGTCAGGGACTGCCTGTGTATTTCACGTTTCTGTGGCGGAGCTGTGAATCACCAGCATCCAGGCTCCATTAAAATGCAGACTCCTGGGCCCCATTCCTATTGGATTAGAATTCCTGGGATGAAACTCAGGAATTTCCTATTAACGTGATTTCCAGTTATTCACTGAAACCAGAGTTTCTCAGTCTCAGCCCTGTTGACGTTTGTCAGGTAATTGTTTGGGGGAGGGGAGCGTGTCCTGGCCATTGGAGGATTTTTAGCAGCACCCAGGCTTCCAGGTGCCAGTACACCCCCTCCCAGTTGTGACAACCAAAAATGTCTGTAGATGTTGTCACATGTCCCTTGAGGAGTAAAATTGCCTCCAGTCGAGAATCACGGTCTCAGTCACACATTCTCTGTCGAGGTGATTCCACCTCCAAGGAGGCAAAAATTGGTTTTTAGGGTGCAAAAGAACCTTAAATATGATGATTTGTGGCCCTCCACAGCTCAACTCTGCCCAACAAAATCATATTCCTTAGTATTTAATTTCATGGTGGGGGAGCAGTTAGATAAAAATGATCTAAAAAGGCTCCTTAGAAGGAATGAAACTAAAAAAGGTTGAGAAACACTATCTAAACACTAAAATTCCAAAACCACTGACATAATATAGAACATCAGAGAAACTAGACGATTCCTAGATCCCTTTTCCCTTGTAGAATCACAGTCAAGCAATCAACATTTAAAAATCCTGTGCAGTTGAGTTGGTGAATCTGTAACTTTGCTTCGTTTTCTGTTGGAAAATCTAAGCAAATTCCAGTGACTTGGCTGCTTGCTCTGTGACTGTCTGTGTCCCCTGGCACCTCAGCGTAATCAGCCCATTTATAATAATGGTCGGTTCTCAGTTGTCCCTAGATGAGGCAAACCGAGATCTGTGTCAGACTGCCAAATTGTGTAGCTTTAGACCAGGTACTTTGTTTACCTCTCCAAGGCTTTATTTCCTCTTCTCTAAGGCCGAGATCATTAATGTACCTAAATTTTTCAAAAAGATGTTTATAAGGTCTAAAATGAGGTAAGATGTAGGAAAGTACCTAGGACATTGGTTAACAAATAAGAGGTTCAGTGAATTTTAGTTCCCATCCCATCCTGTGTCGGTAATTATTATGATGGTAACAACTAAGATTTACTAAATCCTTATTATGTGTCAGGTACTGTGCTAAACATTTTTGCATGAATTGTCTCAATCATTCTGCAAAACAACCCTGCCAGGTGGTATGAGGGGTGAAGTTACTATTGAGAAATACTTGGGTTGGAGTATCCTCCCCCCGCTCACTGATGCTGGACTTGGCCCTGTGGCTTGCTTTAGGCAATGGAACATGAATGATTGCGACGTGAGCCGAGGCCTTAAGTGTGCCTGTGTGGCTCACCTGGCTCTTGTGCTCCTGCTGTTTACCCTGAACATCCTCTGGGCCACGCAGACCTACACGTGACTCAGCGACCCTACGGATAGGAGCTGTCCTCCTGTTACAGTTCAGGAGACGAGGCACTGAGAGATTAAATAATTAAATCCCTTGCGTAAGGTCACACAGCAAGGATACCTAAATACAGGAAGTTTGAGTCCACAATCCCTACTCTTAACCATTCTGCCACCAGAGGTAATATCGTGGCAATTAAACCAAATCAGCATGTACTTATAAAATAAGTTAGTTATCTTAGGAATATGTCATACACTTTTTTGGCAGTAGCGTTTTTCACTTTCACATTCTGTTAGAATGTGTTGTCCAAAGGAAGTTTATATTTTTTAAACACCTACCAGTTAAGTGTTCAGGAAAGGCCAATCCCTTATTGAATATTTAGAGTTTCAGAAAGTAGATATACCGTATCTCGTTATTCAAGAGGTGATTAAATTGTATCAATGATTTGGTTTTTTTTTTAGCGCAAAATCCTGCAGAAGAAAACAGATTTTATTGTTCCTAATTTGCAACCACTGACTGTATATTGCGTCAAAGCCAGAGCAGTCATCGAGGATGAAAAATGGAATAAAAGCAGTGTTTTTAGTGATATTTTGTGTGAGAAGACAAAACCAGGTCAGAATTTTTCATTATGTCTAATTTTTTAAATGTAACTGGACTTAATAAAAATAATTTAATACTTGAAAATTATTGTAAGATATTTCTTTACTGCAAATATATAATTTTTTCTTTGTGAAGTACATGATCAGAATTAAACCTTCAAGCTAAAATTGCCTTTCAGTTTTAGAAAATATTTTTAATGTTCAACTCAATTCATTTTTTTGCTTTCTATTTCATCTAGTATCCACATAATTGATTTCCTTTAACTATTGCTCATTAGCATTTAATAAGACTTTTATTTTTTCCATAGTCTTTAAGTATGTGGAAATCACTTAATTAGTTCAGTACGGATTTTTTTAATATGGGAATAGTTTACTTTTATATTGACTTATAGATGCTTAGTCATAGAATATTTTTAAAACTTTACTGATTTTATCTTGCAGAAGTAATGCTGGAGAATACTTTGCATGTTGGGACCTATATGTCAGTGTTGTGCTCGTAGCTAAGCACCTCTTACTTTAGCTCCTAGGCCGCTCTTTAAATACAAGTGCCATTGCCTACAGCTGTAGTGTACTTAGTGCTACTAGAAAGGTTTTTGAGGGTATTACTTAATAGCTTTTATGTTTCTTTGCATATGTCGAGTCTTTCCCACAAGCTGTTGGCACTATTAAAGCATCCGTACCTCAAAACCTGTATTGATGCTAAGCATCATTTATTTGTTTTTAGGCAATACATCCATAACCTGGATTATAGCTGGAGTTTGCACTGCCTTGTTTTCCATCCCAGTTGCCATTTACGTTGTGAAAGGCCTCTTGAGATGCATCAACTATGTATTCTTTCCATCCTGTAAGCCTCCTCCCAATATAGACCAGGTATGTTACTTGTTTTTGTCAGCAGCTGGGTTTTTCTTAAAGTGAACAAGAAATATGGTAGATTTCTGTAGAGTATACATATGTTTTCTTGACATCCAAAAAAATAATACGGACTGATTTGGATATTCAAAGTTTCAGCAAATTAACATTACGAACAGGCATTTAATGTAAGAACATAACATGGAATAATAAGATTTGTGTTTAATCTGATGTTTTCTGGCAGTTGGACCACTGTGGCATCACTAAAGTCTTTGTGAGTCTTTACAGTATATCAAAGAGACTAAGACATCATCAGTTAGAAACTATGTTCTGTGGATGAAATCACAGAAAATGAAATAACTAAAAACACAAGTTTCCTTTCACAGCACCTCACTGTATTTTGTTTGGCTGTGAGGTGAGCATGTTTAGTGAAGACTGTCAGTGATGGAGACCTAAACACAGGATCCAGCCTGGGGAATGATGTGTTCACCTAGCAGGGCCAGTTACCCAGTCAGCAACACATGCTCGGGCCCGATTGTGCCTTCCCACCCTCTGCAGTGCACGCTTTCACCTGTCCCCCACCGCGTCACTGATGTGGCGGAACCCATGTGAAATTGCTTACCGCAGATTAGCAAGTAAATACAGTTAAGCCCATGCTACCTTGCTCAGTGCAAGCAGGTGGGTACTGTATTTACTGGTTAATCCACCCCTGGGTGGGTGTCAGTTTGCTTACTTTGCAGGCGAATAGTTCAGAGCCCAGGCTCTGAGTCAGACAATCATAAATGGTCTACTATGCCAGGAATGACAACTTGAAGAGGAATGGCATCGCATCTATCATCAGAAAGAACATTTCAAGATCTATCCTAAAGTACAACGCTGTCAGTGATAGGGTAATATCCATACGCCTACAAGGAGGACCAGTTAATACGACTATTATTCAAATTTACACACCAACCACTAAGGCCAAAGATGAAGAAATTGAAGATTTTTACCAGCTTCTGCAGTCTGAAATTGATGGAACCTGCAGCCAGGATGCATTGATAGTGCAGTGGTTAAGAGCTGCGGCTGCTAACCAAAATGTTGGCAGTTTGAATTCACCAGCTGCTCCTTGGAAACCCTATGGGTCAGTTCTACTCTGTCCCATAGGGTCGCTATGAGTCAGAAGCGACTCGACGGCAACGGGTTTGGTTTTGGTTTGGAATGCGGAAGTTAGAAACGAAGAAGGGTTGGTAGTTGGAAAACATGGCCTTGGTGATAGAAATGATGCAGGAGATCACATGATAGAACTTTGCAAGACCAACAGCTTCTTCATTGCAAATACCTTTTTTCAACAACATAAATGGTGATTATACACATGGACCTCACCAGATGAAATACACAGGAATCAAATCGACTGCATCTGTGGAAAGAGACGATGGAACAGCTTAATATCATCACTCAGAACAAGGCCAGGGGCTGTCTGTGGAACAGACCATCAGTTGTTCATATGCAAGTTCAAGTTGAGGCTGAAGAAAATTAAGTCCGCGAGAGCCAAAGTACAACGTTGAGTGTATCCCACCTGAATTTAGAGACCATGTCAAGAATAGATTTTATGTGTTGAACACTAATGACTGAAGACCAGACAAGTTGTGGAATGACATCAAGGACATCATACATGAAGAAAGCAAGAGGTCATTAAAAAGGCAGGAATGAAAAAAAAGATCAAAATGGATATCAGGAGAGATCTGAAAGTTGCTCTTGAACGTCAGGTAGCTAAAGCGAAAGGAAGAAATGATGAAGTAAAAGAGCTGAACAAAAGATTTCAAAGGGTGGCTTGAGAAAAGAAAGTAAAGTATAATGACATGTGCAAAGACTTAGAGATAGAAAACCAAAAGGGAAGAACACGCTTAGCATTTCTCAAGCTGAACTGAAGAAAAAATTCAAGCCTCGAGTTGCAATATTAAAGGATTCTACAAGGAAAATATTAAACGATGCAAAAAGCATCAAAAGGAGATGGAAGGAATACACAGAGTCACTATACCAAAAAGAATTGGTCAACATTCAACCATTTCAGAAGGTAACATATGATCAGGAACTGATGGTACTGAAGGAAGAGGTCCAAGCTGCACTGAGGGCGCTGGCAAAAAGCAAGGCTCCAGGAATTGATGGAATCTCAGTTGAGATGTTTCAGCAAACGGATGCAGCGCTGGAAGTGCTCACTCATCTGTGCCAGGAAATTTGGAAGACAGCTGCCTGGCCAACTGACTGGAAGAGATCCATATTTATGCCTATTCCAAAGAAAGATAACCCAACAGAATGCAGAAATTATTGAACAATATCATTAATATCACAAGCAAGTAAAATTTTGCTGAAGATCATTCAAAAGTGGTTGTAGTAGTACATCGACAGGGTACTGCCGGAAATTCAGGCCAGATTCAGAAGAGGACGTGGAACCAGGGATATCATTGCTGATGTCAGATGGATCCTGGCTGAAACCAGAGAATACCAGAAAGGTGTTTACTTGTGTTTTATTGACTATGCTAAGGCATTTGACTGTGTGGATCATAACAAATTATGGATAACATTGTGAAGAATGGGAATTCCAGAACACTTAATTGTGCTCATGAGGAACCTGTACATAGACCAAGAGGCAGTCTTTTGGACAGAACAAGGGGATACTGCGTGGTTTAAAATTAAGAAATGTGTGCATCAGGGTTGGATCCTTTCACCGTTCTTATCTAATCTGTATGCTCAGCAAATAGTCCGAGAAGCTGGACTGCATGAAGAAGAACACGGCATCAGGACTGGAGGAAGACTCGTTAACAACCTGCATTATGCAGATGACACAACCTTGCTTGCTAAAAGCCAGGAGCACTTGAAGCACTTGTGATGAAGATCAAAGACCACAGCCTTCAGTACGGATTACACCTCGACATAAAGAAAACAAAAATCCTCACAACTGGACCAGTACGCAACATCATGATAGAGAAAAGACTGAAGTTGTCGAGGATTTCGTTTTACTTGGATCCACAATCAACCCCCTCAGAAGCAGCCGTCAGGAAATCAAGCAGTGCATTACATTAGGCAAATGTGCCGCAGAAGACCTCTGTATCTATAGGGTTAAAAAGCAAGATACCACCTTGAAGACTAAGGTGTGCCTGACCCCAGCCATGGTGTTTTCAGTCACCTCATATGCATGTGGAAGCTGGATGATGAATAGGGAAGACCAAAGAAGAACTGATGCCTCAGATTACGGTGTTGGTGAAGAACAGCGAAAAGTACCATGGACTGCCAAAAGAGCAAACAGATCTGTCTTTGAAGAAGTACAACCAGAACGCTCCTTAGAAGCAAGGATGGCGAGACTACGTCTTACATACGTCGGACATGTATCAGGAGGGACCAATCCCTGGAGAAGGACATCATGCTTGGTAAAGTAGAGGGTCAGTGAAAAAAGAGGAAGACACTCAACGAGATAGATTGACACAGTGGCTGCATCAGTGGGCTCAAGCATAACCGTGGTCGTGAGGGTGGCGTAGGACCGGGCAGTGTTCTGGTGTATATAGGGTCGTTATAAGTCGAAACAGACTTGTCAGCACCTAACAACAACAACAAACAGGCTGTGGAGCTGGAGGCCCCTGACGGTGAACTGTTGAGGAGCTGTAGTCCATTTGCTCTTACTGTCTCTGTCACCTGAAGCAAGGCACTCAGGGCACCCCGAGGCTACAAAAGCAGGCCAGTCTAGGGACGTGAGGAGCAAAGGAGATCATCGTAGAAGGTTCGGCACTGTAAAAACACTCACTGCTGGCTGTTTTCCTCTTACACCCCTGAGATTTTAAATGTCACTCCTATACATTCTTAATAGTCATGGCCATGACTTCAAAGAGACTTAAAAGTAGCTAGTTACAACAGCTCATTATTCTTAGTTGAACAGAAAATGTTAATTTGTTATGTGTGTTTCTCCTGGAGATTTGTGAATTGGATAAAATCATTTGATTGTTTCCACGATCCCAGTGTTCTCCCCCTTCCCGGCTCTCACCTGCTCTTCCCCCTCGGCCCCTGGTGCTCAGGCCACCCTTCTCAGGTCCTTTTCAGACTCACCAGAAAAGATACTAAGACGTAAGTGACCCTGCCGGTGTTGTTTGTATTCTAAACTATCACGTCGTTGGTGTGCTCTTAGCTGACGTTTTCACGTGCATGCCAGACGACAGATCTTCTACATAATGGACTGAAGAAACTAAAGCTATTAGAGCTGGAAAACACATTTTTATTATTTTAAGTAATCTATTTCTGTTCTTTCTTTTTTTAATTAGTGTTTCTCTGAACAGTCACTAAAGAATCTACTCCTTTCCGCTTCTGAGGAGCAAACTGAAAGATGTTTTATAATTGAAAATTCGTACAGTCTTGTTACAGTAGAAGAAACCAGTCAAGTTGACGAAGATCACAAACAATACAGTTCCCAAACTAGTCGAGATTCAGGAAACTATTCTAATGAGGATGAAAATAGCGGAAGTAAAACAAGCAGAGAACTTCTACAACAGGGACTCGTGTGACCAGCGATGAACTCTAAAATCGGGGAAGTCTGTGGGAGTTTTTCTGGGGGCCTGAGTTTCTTGCTCTTCTGGGTAACTAAAATGCAGACGGTTGCTTGTTGGGGAAGGAAAAAAACCTTCAAGTCAGAGGTCCTTAAAATACAGGTCTAAGCGCTTAACTATTTAAAGGGGAAAATACAGAAGTTGGGAGAAAATTTTCTGTATTCTCTTTCATATGTAATTCTTAAAAGGCTTTGCCTTTGACAAAATGAGTTAAACCAAGAAGATGGCCAGATGCCTTTCTAATGATATCTTAAGCATCACTGTGTTAACTGTATCTGGCAGCTAAGGATGTATCTGTGTTCCTGTCAGGGAATACTGGGAGCCCTGGTGGCACAGTGGTTAAAGCACGCGGCTGCTAACCCGAAGGTCAGTGGTTCAAACCCACCAGCCGCTCTGTGAGAGAAAGTTTACTCAGTTTACTCAGTCCTGAAGGATCGCTGTGAGTCAGAATCGACTCAGTTGGCAGTGGCTTTGGTTTTCAAGGAATACTGCCCTGGCTGCTGCTGGTTACTGCGTATGCCATCTCTGCCTTCTCCAGGCCCAGCACTGTATTTCAGTATTTTTCCAAGGGATATTGAGAACATTCGGTCTTTTTTTTGACCCTGAGGGAGGCCCTTAAGTAGCTTACTCTAGAAGACAGTTCCAGATGCCTGAAAGATGATATGTGAAAATTTTAGGGCATTCTGTCCATTTATCCCAAGATCCGTTGGCCCCGCATCACAGTTACCTACTCCTTACGTGATTAGACTTAAAACCAGTAGTCTGCTCACTGTACGTTAAGACTTCCTGGTTAGTAACCCATCAGACAGTAGCTGGATCAGAATTCGCAATCACTAAAGTTATAGGGAAATGGGCAGCTGTCAAATTAGAGAAGTCACTTCTTTTTTAAGGTCTGGGAACATGCAATGCTGAGTTCTAGTTTATTCAAGGAGCCTTAGGGCCGGAAGATGCTGAGTGGTAAGAAGTAGAATAACTCAGTAGGAGTACTGTGTATAATCAGCCTTTAATTGCTAACATACTCTGAGGTTAGTTTGTTATTATGGCCGATCTTTGTCATTTTAATACCAGGCTAGCTTCTCTACACTGTCTGGCAGTATTCAGGTACCCCTTCTGCTCAGCCTGCATGTTCTCAAGAAAATGCAGCTTATTTAATATCAATATGAGGGAGAAAATGTATCTAGGAAAAAAAAGAACCTATTTATAAAAACTGTGTGATGCTTTCCAAAGGCAGCCTATAGCATATTTTTAAATTATTTGATGTGTGGGATTATCTGTGGATATCCTCCTTATGAAGGAAGTCGAGGAATTCTGGTGGCCTCTAGGGCAGAATTGTCAACGTGAGTTGTTCAGCAGGGACCAGTGAAAGAGAAAAGTGAAGTTACAGAGAGCATTCTGGGAAGTGCATAGAACTGCTATTTCTTTAGTAGTCTTCACTGAGGTAACAGGCTCATCTTGGGAGAAAAGGTTGAAAGCAGCTTTTCTAGAGAGGGCTGTGACATGATGCTCAGCACATTCCCAGCACCGTCGGCCACAACAGGCACCTTCTGGACCCGCGGTCAGGCTTCCGGAGTCATGTTACAATGGGGAACCAAGGATCTCTGCTGCAGAGTCCACACCATGACCCAGAGGCCTGTGGTTTGAAGTACATCTCCCGGGTCAGCCTTAAATACGTGAAGGCCCTGTCACCTTCCAGATGTGTTTAAGGGAGGTTAGGAACATGTGATGAGCCTCTGCCCCCAGGAGCTGTCACACTGCACCAGTGGGGCAGCCCCACCAGGCATTCAGGCCCTGGATTTACTGCACTAAGGGCTTCCGGGGCGGGACAGCGGAAAAAGAAACCACACCTTTGTGAAATGTGGAGAGCGAGAACTTAGACATGAAAAATAATAGACCGATGAATTGTTAGATTTCTTAGATGTGGGAGCACATTTCTTCAGGTGTAAGCGTTGAAGCAGGCCGTGTTTCAGTGACTAAGCCCTGGAGCAGCAAGCGGGGAAAGAAACAGAACAGGTGTCTGTATTCCAGACAGGAAATGGCATTCCATTCTGTATGGTATTCTACATCTTGCTTAATCAGAATGTGCTTACTTGTAAGGTGATAGGTGTTTTTTCTGAAGAATATTTTACTTGGACATTCCATGTACTTGGCACCAATCCATTGCCTCAGAATTAGAATATTGATAGTTCTTGTACAGGCGGGATATAAGAATTCATATGAAGGAACTGTATCTTTAGAACCAGAGATCGTATGATTAATATATGTAAGTATCGTGTATAGTGTATATATGTACATACATGTATATAAACAGTAGCATGGACTTGCAAACGCACGCGCACACGCACAATGGTGGCCTTATTCCATTAGTATGGCCATAAATTATTTACTAGTATAGATTCTAATTAGAAGATTAGAAGTGCTGCTCAGAACTTTGAACTTTAGAGTCTGACCAGAAATTTGCAACCTATAAAACTGATTTTAAAATATAATTTAGCATTTGTATCGTTTTCCCAAAGGAGCCCTGGTGGCGCAGTGGTTAAAGCGTTCAGCTGCTAACTGAAAGGTCAGCAGTTCGAACCCATCAGCCGCTCCACAGAATAAAGATGTGGCAGTCTGCTTCCCTAAAGATTTACAGCCTTGGAAACCCTAAAGGGCAGTTTTACTCTGCTGTAGCGTCACTGAATCAGAACCGACTTGAGGCAGCGGGTTTAGGTTTTTGTTTTGTTTTTTCCCAACCTTCGAGCTTGGGGGTTGTATAGAAGCTTTCCGTTTTTTTCACCCCCTGTAACCACAATGACTGTTGATGTGTAATACGCTTGTTTTGTTTGGTATGTGTCTCCCCCACTAGAGTGTAAGCTCCAGAGAGCAGGGACAGTTCCGTTCATTACTGAATTCGCAGCAGCTACAGCCATCCAGTGCCTTGCACATAGGTGTCCAGAAAATAATTATTGAATGAATGAAATCTAAAATTTGAATCAAGAGGGTTGTTTGTGACAATTTGTATGTTTTATTAGGTTTTGGAAGGACATAGCCAAGTTTTTAGTGTTTTTATACAATAAATTTGTATCTTTTTTATTTTTGTCTTGAACCCTACTGTTGTAAACAATTTTATAGAATAAACATCGGGCTTAAAAGTCTTGTTTGTTCCACTTTGAGGGACAGAGTAGCAGGGGTAGGGATCTGGGCACCATGCTTTCAGGGGACATCTATACTCGTGAGGAGTGTGCCTCTTAGCTCAAGTAGATACAAGAGACTAAATGGGCAGCTTCCATCCGGAGGTGAGATGGGAAGGCAGAGAGGGTCAGGATCTGGTTGAATGGATGTGGGGAATCGGGTGGAAAGGAGGAGTGTGCCGTCACAGTATAGGGAGAGCAATTAGGGTCACATAACTGTGTATAAACTTTTGTATGGTAGACTAACTTGAAATGTAAACTTCATTTAAACTACAACAATAAAATTTTTTTTGAAAGAAGTGTTCGTTTTTTATTGTTGTACTTGAACTTAAATTTTTATGCACCAGGGGTGTTGCAGCTGATGCCTTCAGAAGGTACTTATAATCCAGGTGCTGATGCTGGTCCCAGGTGCTCCTGTGTCCCGTGCTGAGAGTCCCAAAGGAGCCATCCTGCCATTCCTGTCCCAAGGCTTAGAGAGACATAGCTTGTTGGCATGCTTTTTTCCTTTTACATCTTCACCCTAAGATTTGGCTGGAAGACAGCCTTAAGTGAAAGCATGTAATGGTATTTCATGTTCCTTCCCTTCTTGAAATAAATGGCTTTCCTTTCACAAATTTGGCTTCTCTCAGGATAAGGCCTTCCTAAGAAGAAGGCTCCTCAACCGCGCGTGTAAATAGATCTTTCCTGCCGTCTAGACATGCTTCAATCGGAAGGTGAACACAATTTACATCCAAGCTAGGATCCCTTCTAAACTTGTGTTTTTAATAAGCTCTCTCAAATTCTTTTTCAAAATGGACAAGGAAGCAAATATTAATATATATTTCTGATGCCCGAGAAACATCCCGTCACTTAACAGCAGCGACAGTTGCCACTACACCCGGGGTTTTCTCACCGCCTTCTTTCTTGGACTTCAGCGATCCCAGAATTACAGGTCTGGAGGGCCACGTAAACGATGTGGATATTTGTGGGGGAGTATTTATACTGATTAAAGTACAGGGTCAGTGAAAAAGAGGAAGACCCTCAACGAGATGGACTGACAACAGTGGGCTCAAGCATAACAAAGATTGTGAGGATGGCACGGGCCTGGGCAGTATTTCCTTCTGTGGTGCATAGGGTCACTATGAGTCAGAACCGACTCGATGGCACCCAACAACAATTGATGAAAAAACAGGAGTAGCTTTTCACCTGAGGGGAAAAAGTTAAGAAGAGAAAAGTTGATGCTGTCTTGCGTACATAAAAAGCCTTGGTGGTGCAGTGGTTAAGAGCTTGGCTGCTAACCAAAAAGGTCAGCGGTTCAAATCCACCAGCTGCTCCTTGGAAACCCTATGGAGCCATTCTACTCTGCCTAGGTCTCTCTGAGTGAGAATCGACTCAATGGCATCGGGTTTGCTTTGGTTTTTTAGTTCATGCAAAGAATATACCAGATTCCCACCCTTGGTGCGGCTTTGTCCCCACGTGGAACTCCTGTTCTAGCCCAGGATAGCATGTGGAGGAGGAATTAGTAATTAATGATGAGGATGGAGAAAAGAAAAGGTTGGCAGTAGCTGTTCTGACAAAAAAGGGACTTAAGAAGAGAGAAAACAGAAAAATCATACCACTCAATAACTAAGCTCTTCTCACAACTACCTCTCCGCCTTCAAAAAAGTTTTCTGGGTTCCTAGTAGAGAAGAGGCTGAGAGGAAATGGAATGAGTACGAAGAAAGATGTTTTCCTCTCTAGTAGAAAGATGGTCCATTTTTCCAAAAGGTTGGAATTAGTTCTTAAAGATAGAAAATATTTAAGATAGTACCTTTTGGTGTACTTGATTCTCGTCTATTCCCAAATTTTATAATGCTTCTAATACTACAGAATTTTACTTAGAAAAACAGTTTTACAATACAAAGCTACATCATCCGTTCTGATATCTTAAAGGACCTCCACCATGTATACAGACAGAAGCCATCTCTGAGCCCACCTGTACCTGAATGTCCAGCATACCCCCCAGGAAAGGAATTCGGAGCATTTGCCTAAACACAACCCCCTCTAACACATGGCAGGCTCCGTGAAAGTAGGAACTATCTTTCTCTTTGTAGTTGGCACTCGGTAGGTGAGGGATGAAGTGGGGTGTTGCAGGTACACACGTGGACTGGATTCACCACTGGGGGAATGGGTCACCTTGCTTAGGTTCACAGCTAGTACCAAAAAAAAAAAAAAAAACCCAAACCTACTGTGTCGAGTCCATTACAACTCACAGCAATCCTACAGGACAGAGTAAAACTGCCCCACAGGGCTTCCAAGGCTGTCATCTTCACGGAAGCAGACTGCCACGTGTTCCTTCCGCGGGGTGGCTGGTGGGCTGTACCGCTGACCTTTCTGTTAGCAGCCGAGCGCTTAACCACTGCACCACCAGGGCTCTGATCCCTAAATAGCTGTGTCATGAAGAAACAGGAAGGCAGTATGTAGCTTAAGATTGTGTATGTTGTTCAGGGTTGCTAGAGGAAGCAAATAGAAATATACGATGCTCAGTTAATTTAGAATTTTAGGTAAGCAATGAGTAATTTTTTTTAGTATAAGTATGTCCTAAAGGGGGCCCTGGTTGCACAGTGGTTAAGAGCTCGGCTGCTAACTAAAAGGTTGGCAGTTCGAATCCACCAGCCACTCCCTGGGAGCCCTATGGGGCAGTTCTACTCTGTCCTATAGGGTCGCTATGAGTCAGAATTTACTGGATGGCAATGAGATTTTTTTTTTAAATGTTCTAAATATTACACAGGACGTACTTACACTAAAAAATCTTTTGTTGTATAATGCTTTGAATACTGTGGCATTTTACTTACAGAAAGAGGTGATTGTGAATTCATAGTATAAAAGTACATCATCCTCCCTTAGAAATTTCCTAAGTGATTTCTACCACACACACGTAGAAGTCACCTTTGTTCCCCATCTGTAATTTCAGATAACAAATAATTTTTTTAGTATAAGTATGCCCAATGTTTTATATAGAAATTTATATTAGATACATTACATATAATGCTTCTAATTGAGGACGATGATAAGAGTGAATATTGCAAACATAGCCAGAAAAATAAATCCCAATATCCTTTTAGGACATTTGCTTTGATTTACTGCAGTAATTTCCCCACCTTCTCACCCCAGCTTTTAACCTGGGTCCTGCCTTCTGGTGGCCATTGTAAAGAGAAATCAAGGATTCCACGTTACAGAGTGTATCAGTTACCCAAACTTGCTAAGATTCCAAGTAAGCAGAAAGTAAACTGGGAAGACTGATGGAATTTGGAGAGTACACAGTGAGTGGATTTCCATAAAACAGAAATACTTAGGGGAATACATTGTTGTTATGTGCCGTCGAGTTGGTTCCAACTCCTAGCAACCCTATAGGACACAGTAGAACTGCCCCAGAGGGTTTCCAAGGAGCAGTTGGCGGATTCAAACTGCCGACCTTTTGTTTAGCAGCCGAGCTCTTAACCACTGTGCCACCAGGGCTCCTAGGGGAATATAGTATGTTTATTTTAACTATGAATTTAAAATAGGTAGTGAGCTGTGGATTCCTCACAATGGTGTGGCTTTGTTAGCCGTTGAACTCCCGTTGAATTTAAGGTCATCGCCCAGGTCCTGTAAGGTCTGTGTGGTACTGATGCAGCAGTCACAGACATCCAGCTGCCGCACGCTGCAGTCCCACAAGCTCTGCCCAGCCCCTGGGCGTTGCAGGAACATGTTTAACTTTGATCAGGAGTTTCCCCAGAACTGTATGATATCTTTATTACCCTTAAAAAACAAAAGCCAACCATGGTTTTGGGGAACATCTAGCTCAATTGGCATAACACAGTTTATAAAGGCAATGTTCTACATTCTACCTTGGTGAGTAGTGTCTGGGGGTTAAAAGCCTGTGAGCGGCCATCTAAGATACTCCACTGGTCTCATCCCTTCGGGAGCAAGGGAGAATGAAGAGAACAGGATACAAGGAAAAGATTAGTCCAAAGGACTAATGGTCCACAGCTACCAAGGCCTCCACCGGACTGAGTCCAGTACAGCTAGATGGTGCCCGGCTACCACCACTGACTGCTCTGACCGGGCTCACAACAGAGCTGGAGAAGGATGTACAACAAAATTCTAACTCACAAAAAAAAGACCAGATTTACTGGCCTAAAGGAGACTGGAGAAACCCCGAGAGTATGGCCCCCAGACACCCTTTTAGCTCAGTGGTGAAGTCATTTCCGAGGTTCACCATTCAGCCGGGGAGTGGACAGCCCCATAAAACCAAATGGGACTAATGAGGCACAGCAGTCCAGGGAGAAGGACTAGAAGGCAGAAGGGACAGGAAAGCTGGTGATAGGGAATCCA